AATCTTTATTATATTAAATAATTATTTTATTTTTTTTTATCTATTTTATCTAGTTAATTATTGAATCTAGTATAACTATTCCTTAATTACTATTTTTTTAGTAAATGCAAATGATATTTTAAATCAGCGTGTATGCGAATTAGAATCAGTATTAAAAAAAAAAAAAACAAATATTTAATTTACAATTTCAATTAAAATTTAAATTATATAATTAATAAAATTGATGTTACGAAAATATTAATATAAAAGAATAACAATTGTTTGTGATATAAAATATCTTAATATTTTTATTTTAACATTGAGATATGTATAAAAGTCAGGAAATGAATGCTAAAAGACTGAGTCTATGCAAAGAGCCTTTTAAAAGAAGTCTTGTAAATTCAATAAATAAACAAAAGAATGATTATATACTTGATACTTTAAAAAAGTAATGAATTCTTATTTATAATAGGATTAAAAAGATAAAAATTAAAATGTAAACTGAGTACCATTAAATATTATCAACTTTTATTAGAATTCAAAGTATTTAACATTTATTTTGCATTCAACTTCTCTAACAAAAAGTTATTTATTAAAAAAAAAAAAAAAAAAAAAAAAAAAAATACGTTAAGGAATAGCAGAAGAAAAAAAAACGGTAAAATAAACTTTATTCTCATATCACTTAATACACACTCATATATGTCCATATGTTATGTGAAAATACAATACATTAAGAAGAGATTTGAAAGATAAAGATTATTAACGACTCGTTTGCTCACAATACAACAAATTATTGTATGCGTGCAATGTACGACACAGGCACAATAATGAAGTACCTTACAATTCTTAATTACTGATTTACCGTAAACATAAGTGTGCCAGGCATGATGATTCTTTTAAATCAACAATTAATAAACCACGAAGTTTCTCTACCCAAGTTTCATTTCCTTCTCTACTTATAGCTTAAGAAATCTCTTAAATGATTTTTTTTCTTTTCATTATTCTTATAGATATTACATATTATACAGTAATGTACACGTTTCATTATTCCAAGCGACAAAAGTGAAAGAAAAAGAAAAAAAAAAAAATCTAATTATAAGAGTAAACCTGAAATGAATAGCAAGGATAGAAAGATTCATGCACCAGCAGACAAAATAAACATATTGCTATTTAAGAAGGTATATATTCCTCATATACAGTGAAATTACGATTGAAATAAATAATAGATTTTATAGAATACCCCATTCGCCTCCCCTCTCTCTTTCTCTCTATTTCTCACTCATAGTTCATATCTTTTTATTATTAACCGTTTTTTTGGATATTAGCAATGCATTGTCTTTTGGTTAAAGTATTGTTATATTGTTCTAAAAAATATAATGAGATTTGAAAACTGGTGTTGTTTTACTATAAACAATCATTTTATCTTTGTTTCTCGAATCAAACTAAAATTTTCTGATGAAAATAAAATTAATAGAAATAAGGTAGTAACGACGATACATTTAATCGAAACCACTTAAAATTTAATTTTTTTACTGCATTAATAAATAACATAATAAATAATTGAAGGTAAAGATTATATGATATTTAGTATATACTACATTATATTATGTGTAAATATATGAAAGATTATATATAAATATTTTAAAACATTTTATAAACATGAGCATAAAATATATATTTAAATAAAATTAATTCAGATTAATCCATTAAAAATATAATTAAGCTATTAATTTAACACAACAAAATGTTATGCATATTATTTTTTTTTCAATATTTTCAAATATTTTATTAATTAAGATGGATTGTTATTAATTTCTTATTATTGCACTTTTAATTCTTTATTTGTACTTCGTCTATTATAATATTTTATACGGTTATATAGTTTTTTCTATTATTCAAACTTTTTTTAACTTTAAATTATTTAATGTTATAATTAATGTTTCTTAAATGTGATTATGTAATGTTCTTAATCGAGTTTCGACATTAATTTTTTATTCATATCCTTAGTTTAATTTATTATGTAATTTATTCATGGCATGCTACTCGCCAACATGTTATCACCGTAATAAGCGCGGATCAAAATAGGACCACATCGATTACGTTCGACGATTGCTCCACCAAAATTTAAAGATGTCTTCTCAACAGGACACGCTTACGTTCACGACAGGAAGGGCGTTGGTTCAAGCGGTGACCTCACGAAACGCCTCATGTTATCTGAAGTGGCTCAGATCATTGACCCAATAGGTTTGTGTATCACCTGTCGTGACAATGAAAGAACATATTCAAGCAAGAGCTATGGCTGCACAAGCTCAATGGGATGAGAGAATGTCATCTCAGCCTTCTGTATAATGGCTGACAATCAGAAGGAATCTTGCCAACCCAACAGACCTTACATACCACGTTGGCTTAATATAAGGAGCACCTCACACAGAGAACTACATGGGTTCTCCGATGCATAACAATTGGCAATATCGGCATGTACGTATTAGTGTACGAACAAAATAAAATAATGACTATGTTAATGGGTTCCGAGACAAAGGAGACACCCCTCATGCCAAGGAGAATCCTAAGACCAGAGCTTGCTGCAGCGTTACTCCTTCAAGGCTCACATAGTACGTCCTCGCCACATGGAAAATTGACAATCCAGTCAAGGCAATCCATCGCTGGACTGATTCACGGGTAACCCTCACATGGATAAAGTCCCATTCAACAAGATGAAAAAAAATACGTGAAATACAGGGTTGCCAGCATTTAAGACCGAACTTCAAACGCACGCTGAAGATGTTCCTGGAATATCGAATCCAGCAGACTGTGCACGATGTATATGTGCAACACAAATTTAAGAACATCCATTATGGTGGACTGAATCACCACGGATAAAATTGCCAGAATCATGACAATGCTAACCTACATTGGATGACAAACAATGTCAACAAGAAGCAAGATCCGGTAAAACATTATTAGCGACGGAAACCAAATCAAATCATCACTGTGACATAATACAGACATTCGTTACTGAATAAATTACTAAGAGAGACTGCCACTTGTTTTAAAATTCAGCACCCGTTAAAGCAAAAAAAAAAAAAACATGAGCTATCGTCTACATACCACATATCAAGGGAAGCTTTAAGAAGGAGCAAGGACCTTAAGGGTAATGGCAACACTTTTAATGGCAGATTCTTGAGAACTTGCATGCGGATCAAGTCTTGCGCATCACACAAAAGATTGTAAGAAACATGCTCACTCAATTCAAAACACATCTTCTCCAGACACTCACTAGAATTACATTCCCAATTCATAAACTTGCCGTGCTACCAATTCCTGAAGGATAAATTTCATCATCAACAAATTGATGATGGCGGGCGGAATGTGCGGGGTTGAAGCAGTTTAATCCGAAGTTAAATTTGGGAAAGTTACAAGCTCTCGGACACTCTTGTTTGTAAACACGATTCAACGACTCCGGGAATTTTCCTGCACAGTAAATTCTAATATACAACAATATTTCCGCAAACAACGCCGATGAAGCTTCTAGAATCTTCCAAGCCCGTGTCCTTTGACGCTTCTAGAACATTCCAGAGCTTCGTTCTCTAACGTCACGACAATTTTCGGCATAGCAACAAGCATCTGCGCTGTTGCCGGCATCGCAAGCTGCTACGCGAATATTTAAGAGCAGCGCGCCATGCACCGAACCACTATTCCTTTACCATCCTCTCAGTCGCCACGCATCTGGCTCACGGTGTTTTTACTATCTACTCAATTATCAATAATAGCTCACTGTATTTCTCAATCAATCTTTATTACTCACACAACTACTAAACTCAGCCGCATGCCTGGCAATCAGCCTACAATACACAAGCATATAATTCTGCCAGAATCTGCAATAAAAGGTTAGTAATTCAACAGCGAAGCCATAAGAATTATAATCACATAAGGGCGCCAAGCCAAGCAGTCATTCAGTACGCAGTGTCAGTAGTTCATAAGGTGCCACCATACAATTATTCGTCCAAGCTAGTCATCTACGCGCAAACCACGTTTCATACGGAGTCTTTGCCAGGAAAGTGGTGCAGTACGCTGTATCATTGCAGTCATTGCAGAGAACGCTCGTTCACTTCTCAAGTCCGCATAAACTACAATTGTCAAGGGCAGACTACCGTTCTACAAATAGTCGACTATAAACCTTATAATACCAAGTCCTTCCGCACTCGAAGGTATATCATTTATTGTTCTTGCGTATAACTAGCTCACTAATACTCCTATACTCCCTTTTGAGTATGGTTGATTCAACATGATAATTACCACAGAGACGCTAACATGCTCCCCCTTTTGAGTATGGTTAAATGGTCGACTGTTATTGCTGATCCTTACAACGTCAGCATAGAACCCACTAATCAACATCCATTGCTAATTCCTATAACATCAATGACATTGCCACCATTACGAAAAAGCAACCTCACCATTGCAATAGAATAATTCCCTCTCTCTCACTAGAAGTAATCATAGAACTGCAATATTGTAATTCTTAATAAAACAGAATAAATGATGTCTTAAATTGATGTTACACATTATACATATTTACAGCCTTTCCACATGTGTCCTTTCCTAAGCATCGCTACGTCGAGAGACTAATAAACTGAACTATTGAATTTGTCAGTTCGAGCCAAAAAATAAAACTTCAATTTCGAACAACAGTGTATAAAAAATACGATTTCTCAACTTTAGCAAATTATTACGTACGTTCTCTAATCTATATCAGAACATATAAAAGTATTATACATTAAATAAAAACTCGAAAAATTTAATTAACTTTATTATTAAAAATTTTTCCCATTGTTAAATAATGAATAATGAAATATAATATTAAGCTTTTATAATAAAATTTAATAATAAAATAATTAAGAAACGATATCTTGAATTATTATTTCAGTATTTTATTTATTTAACAAATTCTTTTTGAAATTGAAATAAGGAAAAATAAGAGACAAATGAATTTTTTATTTTTATTAAATGATCTAATTAATTAACCTTACATACAAATTTTCTATTCAATCAATTTTATTACCATGTAAATCATATTTTAAATGAATTGGCCAAGGCTTTTCAGGAATATACTCAGGATACTTTGTTTTGTACTTCAATCCAGTGACGAATGTAGCACTCCGTGGAAAAGCTGTTTTTCCATTGAATAATTTATCGGTCTCTGCAAATTGAAAGAAAATAAGTTATAATTAGATTTTTAAATTTCTCAATGTTTATTGCATTATTTGCATATACTATTAAGCTGTATTATGATTTAATTCATCTAAATAGAATTTAAATGATATCCCACATAAAATTTTGATATTACAACAATATATCAATTGCATAACACATTGAAAACATTTTTACTGATTTTATTTAATGTTTTTGAACATTAAAAAATATATTTAGAATAAAATTATTAGAGGTTTAATATTTATGAGTGCTTAAATATTCATTCTAGTTTACTTGTTTAGAAATCCTTGATCATTTTAAAACTTACATTAATAGTGATTAATTAAAAATCCGTGTTCAATCATATCCCAAGTATAAACTTGATCATCAAGTTTGCTAGATTTAAAATTTTAATCATTAGGAATAGGTTGAAAAATTAGTACCTGGATGGAATCGAACATAATCTTGTTGAACGTGCAAATTTGGCGGTAGATCTAAGTTTTTCAAAGCATCGTAAGGCGTAGTTGTTATAACCGGTGTCTGATAAAATACTCGTAGATCACCTATGAATGTCACAAATCAAACACAAAATATATGCAAATATTAATTATATTAAGGTTAAAAAATAATTTAATAGAACAAAAGTAATTGAAACAGACGAATTCATATAATTTGTCAAGAATTAGCCAACTTATATCAATGTCTTCTTTTTAGTAAATGTAAAAAATCACTTTAATACGTTAATTAAATAATATGTCAATATTCATTAATTAATATTACATTCTATATCAGATTATCAGTTACTATCAATTATAAAAGGAGAATTTCTTCCATTGTTGTAAGTGATTATAAGATTATTACTTTTTAATTACTTTGAATAATTAAATTTAGCAAGTAATCCTTAAGAAACTCAATATATTTTACCAATCGTCCTAATCTCAACAAGCTTTGAATTTGGAATGCAGTGCTTGAATTCTTCATTGCATTTGGTGAACAATTTGAACCTTAGGTCCATATCCTCAATAGATGTCATGTCGTTAGTACTTATATTTTCCATTTCGCAAATTCGGTCGAGACGTTCAGAAACATTCTGGTTCGGTTGATACGGCTTATATGATCGTAGAAAGCTGAAAGTATACAACAATTACTTTCTTATGTAATTTTCGATTTACGTGAAATGAAAATGGTAATATAAGTCATTGCTCATCTTCAATATATTGAATTACGTTTAGCAGGCAGAAATGGAGCGTTGTAATGTTAAACATTAATTTATTAAAAATTTCATCCTCTTTGGATAAATGGATTTTTATAAATATATTATATTAAAAAATGATTAATCTAATGAAAAAACATGTATTTTATGCAGCTTAATTATATCACATTTAATTAATGGCAATTCAAATGCATTATGTAACTTTTATTAATTTTTAATACAAATGTAGAAAAAATCTAACAAAGAAAAGTTTAAATATTATAATCTTTTTTAATTGTTGTAATATAATCTGAAAGCATAATGACATTTGACATAAATATGTTTAATCATTTATTTTTTACGTTGCTTATATAGAAAATATTATATCTGAAATATAATTATTTATTATGTAAAAAGATTAAATTACTTTTAATGAATTCTGAATACTACGGGTAATTATACAGAAAGTATCTAAAAATATCTACATTTTTAATTTGAAGTAGTAGGTACTCAATGAAATGACATTTTCATTTAAATATAGAGTCGAAACATTTTTAGTAATATAAGATCCGAAAATACAATCAATTTTTCATTATTTTTATTATTTGATTTTATTATGCGTAAATCCTTTATATGAAAAATTTTGCGTAAATAATTTATAAAATTTTATTGCATATAAAATATTAAGTAATAAATTTTTAGCTTAGCTTTCCATTCCTGTATTTAAAAGATAGTTCATATTACAAAGAATCTGAAAAACTTCTCTAGATTTTAATCTATTTATACAATATTTATAAAATTTTATTTTTTGTTGTTCACTTTGGTTATATTATTTAACAAATGTTCCAATAATACCAAACTTATATATACAATATATTAACTTTTAAGAGTAATTTAAGCTTACGTGTAATTTATTTTTAAAATGTTATTGTACAAATAGAGTTTATTTTTCTATTATATTTAAATAAAACTAGAAGAAACATATAAGATATATCTATATTAGTAATAAAATGTTAATTCAAAGAGATTCAAACAAGTTAACGACAATCTATGGTAACACTTTATTTTTTTTTTAAATTTATCATAAAATACTTTTAATTTAGATTCACTAAAACTATTTGGAAAAAATGTGCATATTTATTAAAATTAAAGAAATAATTTCAATTAATACTTTTTTATAATTAAATTTTGTATAATAACTATATGCGAGAAACTCTATTTACATATTACACAACTGTTTCTATAGTTTAATCATCTTTTAATTTTAATTACTAACTAATTAGAAAGAAAAGTATTTGTTTAAAATACTAATATATATCGCTATAATTTAATAATAAAATGTGATGTCTTTATTGTAAATTCTATATTGTATAAGATATTTATCTGACTTTAAACTAACATTCTTATAATTCAGCAAACACTTATTTATTCGTACAATACATTTTTTTAAACTTTTTTTAATGCAAATAAAATTTTTCATTTTTTAAAAATAATTTATGAATTATAACAAAAATGGTATTTTTTTATTTTTTATTAGAACCATACGCAAACTGAAGCAATAATGTTAAGGAATATCAGGTGTCAATCCTTAGGATTTGACTTAATCATACACCGCAAATACTAGGTTCAGCACCATAGACACCGAGCAAAGCATGTTGAGCAAATACTACTCACGTTAATCGATGATTAGCTTTCTCATTTTGTTGATCATTGACACAATTATACCTCATTTGCTGCATTAATTTTTCTATACGTATTTAGTTTTTTATACTTAGCTAATGTCACTTTTTTACTTGTATATCCGTATTACCGAATCATTGGAACACTATATAACATATACATATATAATATAACAGTGTATAATAGTAAAAGATATATAATTCGTTTTACATGTACATATTTCTTATTTTTTATGAAGTATTTAATTTATAATACAGAAATATGTTTTTAATAAAGAGCATTAACTCCATTAATAATATTTATCAAGCGTGGTTTAAAAGATAAATTGAATTTATTCCTCAATACTCTTTATTTACTCATTATTCACTCTTTATTTATTTCATAAAATTTACATTCAGTTGTCTATAAATAAATATAAAAGAGTGAATATATAAAAAGCGATGTTTGAATAAAAATATACCTTAAATTTAATTACAAAACCCGTTAAACATGGAACCAGTATTGATTAATAAACAACATGTATAATTTTACACAGCAAACTAACAAAGTTAATAATTATAATCTTTTGGAGTATTAAAATTCAAACAAATACACCTGAATATTCAAAGATACTAATGATAAAATTTTTTAAAATTTCTAGATTAAATAAAAAGTTAACTAATTAAATTTCTGATAAGTTGATTTTAGTTATATTTATTTTATTTTAAGTTAAAATTGTTTATATTCAATATGATGCAGATTACTTTTAAAGGATTACTATTTCAAATACACACAATATTAACATTCTTTTCTGTTTGAGAAAGTAAAATTTTTTTTTTATGTTATCAGTATTTTAACGTATAATATTTTCATTTATAATATTAAACCAGAGCCATTTAACAGTGCATTATCAAAATTTACATAAGAATATCTATTTTAAAATAGATACTGTCTAGATTAATGAATATTATGATATTTATATATGTAAACTATAAGATTGTTAGAAAATATATGCTTTTTTTCAAGAAACAACAGCAAATATAAAAAAAATGCATATTAGTCTTGGAGAACTATAGTAAATGATTAATTATTATAAATAATTATTATGATTAATAATTATTTTTACTAGGACGGACAATAAAAAAATTTTTTTTAATGTTTTCCTATTCTCGACTTTATCATACGATGTCGAGGCTATGAACTTCAAATTTTCCTTAACAAAACTTGATTTCATTTTATATTTAATTTATCTCGTAGCATTCACTTAGTGTTGCCTGAAAATAACTGATCATTTTCATTTATCAACAACAGTGACTTCTATTATATGATTTCCAAAATTTATGAATTCAAGCTTTGTATAAGGGTTTTATTTTAAATATATTAAAGAATTGTAGTTTGAAAATATTTTATTACATCGTTAAAAATAAAAATTTTGAAAACTAAATTTGATTGATAAAATGTATTTTTTATATGTTAATGACAATAAAAATTGAACAAACATAAATATGAAATATACATTTATATCCATCAATAAATATTGTTCTCGATCAATTAATGTACTTGTTTCATATAAATACATGAAATGATAATTTAATATCCATGAAGACACATTAATTCAAATACTACAAATTTAGCATTAAAAATATAGAAACAAAATGTCATCTCGAATAATTGGAGATTATTCTATTTTTTTAAGTCTATAAATAGTAATAAATTAAATTATTTATATAAAGTGAAGACATTGCAAAATCTTATATCAAATATCTTTTATTTATTTATTGATTATTCAAATATTAAATTTCTTTATTTCTTCCAAATACTGATTATATGTGCACATACAAGTTGTATCAATAAATAAGCAAATAAACTTTTTAGCTCAATTTATCTATATTACAGTTTAAAATTTATCCTACTAAAATAGAAAAACTTAATTCTCTTTATAAAAATGATTTATAAAGTAACTGCAACCATTAAAAACAAATTAAATAACAATTGTGAAATAGAATCTAATAACATCTATAAGACAATGCTCCTTAAAAATTATCTTTCTCTTTGCTATTGTTTATTTATTTATATTATTATAGTATGATAGTATTGTATTTATTATTATCATTTACTGTGTGGTGAAACTGTACATGTAAATAAATCATTCCAATATCAAATATCAAAGTATTTCTTAATTCATATATAGCCCTAATACTAGTCACCGCGTTATTATACGAAGAGGGTAAGTGCGCGCGCGATTATGCATGTGTAATGTTTAGTATTGAGTGAAATCAAAACCAAAGGTCTAAAATGTATTAATTTATAATGCATCCACATCTTATCAAGTTTAATATTGTTGTTATCACTGTGCACGAGTAATCGGTTTGTATGTGACAATGGCCTTCGTGTATGCATTTGATTAAAATGACTTTTAATTATAATACCAATAATTTTCTAATATGCAACACCTATATTAACTACTCCAAGATCTACTGATATTCCTAGATCATTTAAAATTATTATAGGCTTCCTTTCATTGAAATAAAAATGGTGCAGCACAGTATAACTAGATGTGCTAAATTACAAGACAAAGTGCGAAGAAAATTGAAATCATAATTTTGGAACTTAAAACTATTAGATTAAGCTTTCAAAAGAATTCATAATAATTTGATTTTGTTTATATAATGTGCGCAGAATTACATACTTCGTCCTTGAATTTCAATACTCTAAAGAAAAAAGAAAAAATGTAATATATTATTAATTATCCATATTAACTTATAACATATTTTCATATTTAACTTATAACTGATATATTTTATACATAAATATTTTATTGATATTTATTATATCTATAAAAATTATACTAGTAAAATCTAAAATATCGCTGAAAAAGAATACAATATTATTTATTTTAAAAAGTATAAAAATATATGAGAAATATTTTTTATAATTAAAATTACTATACATTAAATTATAATACTTAATTATAATTATTTGAAGCAAGTCGTAACATTAACATAATACAATATTTAGAATATGGTTACAGTAAGAAAATAATGCTTTGTTATTGCTATCTACGTATAAAATGGGAACAGACAGTTTGTCATACATTAAAGAGCTTCAATGCACTAGAGAAATTAAACGGCTTGCACTAGTAAACTAATTGTCGATTTCAAATTAATTTGTTTTTTATGAATTCGAAGTATGTTTTATTGGCTGAATGTAAAACACTAATTTTTTATTATAGGCATACAAATAAATGCTTATCGTAGTAAAAAAATCGATCTCCCA